CGATAGACCGTATTCCTAGAGTACACAGTCATGAATATATAATATGATAGACCGTATTCCTAGAGCAACACATTCATGAATATATAATACGATAGACTGTATTCCTAGAGCAACACATTCATGAATATATAATACGATAGACCGTATTCCTAGAGCAACACAGTCATGAATATATAATACGATAGACCGTATTCCTAGAGCAACACATTCATGAATATATAATACGATAGACCGTATTCCTAGAGCAACACAGTCATGAATATATAATACGATAGACCATAAGGGTAACCCACAGTATAAGGCCAACATGAGAGACTAGCTCTCTGCACTTCTATTATATGTTGAATTCGTGATTTATCAGACTTAATACTTTTTTCTTTTTATATTATTGGTCGCGATTAGTTATAGTGTGCCGGGCTGCAGGTAGGCAAGTCCAAAGTTCAACCGCGACGTGCTGCTGAAAACGCTTCGTATACTTTCAGATGTCGGGGTGTGACAGTTAATACTGCTATTTAATTAATCATAGCCATACAGGCGGCGGTCGCTGCTGACTGCTTTCCCCCTCCCCTGGTCACTATATCTGAACCTTGAGGTCTGTGATCTGGCCGTTCCGCTCATGTTGAAAATAAGAAATACTTTGAGTAAAATATAACCGAAGGATTCAAATAATCAAATATTTATAAGATGTCAAAGTTGTTTCAAATCGACAAATTGTGAGTAAATACAATAAGTAAAAATAGGTTATTTAGATATGTATAATATATTAAAAATCTAGGGCTTCAAGAACATTTTTTCTGCTTAAATAATAACCCCTTGGTGGCTCAACTTAGTTGTTCGATTCCTGCAATAAGCACAGTGTATATAAATCGTTGCGTATTTTTACACTTAAACAAACGAAAAACACATTAAATAGTATTGATAAAATATACCGCGTGCGCATGTATAATATACTGTAATTGCCAAAATGAGTGTATTGTAAACAAAAAACTTGTGCGTACGTAAAACACATTTATCTTTTCTGAGTTTGTTTACCTATTTCAGAATTTTCACGCAAAACTATACGAAGGGCTGTGTGCCTATAGCCCATCTCTAACTGTGAACTCAAGGGAAAGTAGAGTCAGTATCATCTAACGTCAATTCTTGGGCTACTCTTATATGACCAAATAGTGAGAAACT